CACCCTAATTCCAAAGAAGAAAGGTGCAGTAAAATTAATATTTCAGACCAATCAACCTCTTAACCAATGTCTACAAGATATTAACTAAGATCTTGGCTAATAGGATGGCATAAGTGATTTCAAGCTTGATTTCTAAAACCTAAGGTGCTTTCGTGGGGGAAAGACTAATAGTTGATGGAGTTCTCATAGCAAATGAATTAATAGATTCAAGGAAGAAAAGTGGTCATGCAGGACTGTTACGCAAAGTAGACATGGAGAAGGCATATGACCATGTAAATTGGAACTTCCTTGATTACATGTTGAGGAGGATGAATTTTGGGGTGAAATGGGGAAATTGGACAAAAGTGTATCTTTCTTCTTCCTCTCACTTTCCAAGCAATAGGATCTGAATCAGGCATGTTCCATCTAAACTAGCTTTTTTTGTTTGGTCTGCAGTGCTGGATAAGATTTTAACCAAGGAGAATTTATCTAGAAGAGGTTTAGAAGTGACAGATCTGGAATGCACATTCTATAATGGAAATGTGGAAAGTACTAGTCATTTATTACTGCATTGTGATCTCACTTACTAGGTTTGGACAAGATTGCTACAGATTTTTGGAGTTAATTTTTGTTTCCCAAAGGATGTGAAGGGCTTTCTAGAGGCTTGGTTCCTAGGAGGCCTTAGCGAGGCTGGAAAAATAGCATGAAGTATCCTCCCCGTGACTGTTTTATAGGCAGAATGGGGTGAAAGAAATCAAAAGAAGAGGTGCTCAATAGGATTATGGGGATGGTGTTTTCGTGGCTGACAAACCATCCACTCTTTAAAAATAGGCAAACTTGTTCTTTTTTTGAGCATGATTTCCTTTTTGTAAGAAGATCATATTTTTTTGTTCGGTTGTTTTTCGGATGCTGGCTTTTCTGTGTTTTTCTGCGTTTTATGCTGTATAGCCTTTTGTAATCTGCCTTTTTGTTTTTAATGAAATACTTTACCTTACAGTTCTCAAAAAAAAAAAAAAAAAAAACTTGGATGATTTAAGATGGTCATTACTTGTGTACTTACACTTATTTCCTATACTAATTGACAAAATATTTCTATTATTGATTGTTTACTTCACTCTATGCGTGATATTAACACTCATCATTGGTTTGGCCAGGGATGGACATAAGTTGGCCTCCTGTGTGTTTGGCTATTTTTATTGGTTGAGCTTCTCAAAACCTAAGGAAAGATATCAACCTTAAAACACTAACCGTATGAGTACTCTTTCTTTATAGCAGCATACAATCAAATGTCTTACCTTTGGCAAATTTCCTGTAGTTACGTCATTAATGTTGTTGGTTTTTTTATCTGCAAGATGAGATAAGTTATCCATGTTTTCTTATTAGTAATGATTATACATGTTTATAAATCAAATGATGGCATACTTTGGCTTGCCTTCATTTGATTGTTGCGGCAAGAACTTGGAGTTCTATTGACACCACCAACTGGGAAACAAAGCAAATAATTGGGAAGGACTCCAAGCAGTGCGTCAGTTAGGTATGATTGATTTTTCTAGTGTCAAGGTGTGCTAAGGGCCTTGTATTTTCTTTTTTTCCAAGCTAAATGCATCAACATACGTAGGGCTATGTCAGGCCCTTTTAACATTTCAAGTTTTATTATGATCTTTTGAAGAAGTTTTCTTAATGCATCTTCTTTTATTTCCATTGATAGAAAAGAGGGAGTACTTTATATATCAAAAAAAGTGAGAGTACTTTATTGCTACTTTTCCAAAAAAATTGAAATGAAAAGATTTAACCTATCTAACGAAGTAATTAAAGCTGACATTTTAAACATTTTAACTATCTTTAACAGTTTGTTTCAAATTTGCTTGAGCATCAACACTATTTTTAGTGTAATAGATAAATATTAACATAATTCCATGCAACTTGTGGCCTAAATATAAGGAGTCAAAACTTGACAATTGGCATGACTATGTAGTATATGATAATTTAGTAAATTCATTCTAATAATATTGAGCTTGTCTTTCATTTTCAGTCCCAAGCCTAAATAATTGGAATTAGGCCTAAATAATTTATTTTCAACTTAATTTCAAGCATATGGCAATTAAGGATATAGTCCTTGATAGAATGGAACATTCATGCAGCCAATCTCATATAATTGGAGCAGGCCTTGTTGAGTTGGGCTGGGATAGGTTATATTATTGTTTATCCAACTATTCCTCGATATTCATATATACTGCAATACATATTCATGGATGTCTGTTTAATTTAATCCAGTTGGACCATCATTAATGCTAGGTAATGAAGGAGTGCTTCAGGAAGTTCTGAAATCTAACAAGTAGTTGCTAAGTTAAACCATGAAACAATATTAGCTTGTCTTTGAATGCTTTTATCATTGTTGGGTGAATGTAAAATGAAGTAAACAAGGTTGCTTTGTAAGAAGGCCCTTCAATTCAATTTCTTGGGTTCTATTCAATTGAATGATTTGATGTCTTTATTAGCTTCAAGGGTTCTAGAAGTGTGCATATCAAAAATAGATCGAAAATAAGTAAAATCATAACCTTCTCATGTTGTTTTACTAGAATTTTTTGTCTTTTTCTTTTTTTTTTTCTTTTTTTTTTTTAAATCTTTTACAGTTCCTATACCAAATTATGTTTTGAACTACTCAAATTTAAAACCATGTTTTACGGTTCCTGCTCGAATTCCAATTATAAGTGATGCAATGCTAGTATTCCCTTATGGATGCCATAGAATATTTTGAACTACTATTGATATTCCAATTAATTGCTTAGAATTCAGCCCATGTAGATTTTAGTTACTATTCCCATCTTTATAGTTAAAATACTTGAATATAATTCTAATGTTTATATGTTTTGATTTGCAGGTTCAACCAATATGTTAAGTGGATTTGCATTGGAAGATGTGCTACATTATTAGAGAATTTGATTAATTTTTTTAAGTTCTTGTAGTATTTATATGTCAACTGGATATGGTATTTGAACAATATCTTTTGGATATTTTAATATATAATCTTTGAATTAATAGATTTCATTTTAAATTGAATTTTATCAAATGGTTTTCTTATATTAAACATGTATGAAAATGCTAAATCAATAAAAAATGGTACCACAAAAATGTTGCAATTTAGTGGGTATATGCATTTTTTTTTGAAAAAAAATAGTATATGTTGACGGTCATGTCTGCCGCCTTAGCTATCAACATGACCTAAAAATGTTAGAATTACCCTAGTATAATTAAAAAATGAAAAAAAAAATCTAAGCCGGCGGTCATGAAACCACCGGTTTAGCCACAAATAACACATAAGGCGACGGTCATCTAATATATAAGCCGGCGGTTCGGACTGCCACCTAAGAACACAAGGGAGTTTGACAGAAATCTAAGGTGGCGGTCTTTTGGTATCTAAGCCAGCGGTCTAAACTGCCGCTTGTTTAATGCTATGAGCAATTTGAATCGGCCACCTAAGGCAGCGGTCTTTTGCATCTAAGCCGACAAAGCTTTAGGGGGCAGACTGAAGACCGTCACCTTAGATCAAAACCGAAGGTCTTAAGGCCTAAGCCAGCAACTGCAGGCTTAGACCAAATTTCTTGTAGTGCATGTTACTATTCATGGGGAGATGTTCCCAATGTACAGCTATAGCATCCTCTTGTGGTTGTGGATAAGAGGTTTGGATTGCAATTTGACAATGGATGTTTTCCATTGTTGCTAGGTAAAAAAGGACCTGTGTTGAATTATCTTATATTGCTATTATGTTTTATACAACAAAAGCAGTAAAGCACATAATATGTACTTGTAGATATAAGTATTTTATATATGATATTTAGGGCCCATTTGGTTTACAGGAATAGGGGTTTGAAATTCTGATTCTAACTCCAAGTGTTTGGTTGGGTGGAATTAGAATTCCATTCTCATTCCTGTTGGAATGGCATTGACCTTTTTGAGGGAATGGCCACTTCCTCCCCCTACCTTAGGAATGAAATCCCATTCTACTTTATTTCAATTCCGATTCCAATTCCAAGGGATTTTGATTTCATTCTGACTAGCTATGAACCAAACGAATGCTTAGATTTAACTTTTATCACTTGTACATACCAAAGGCATAGAGGTGTAAATCGGGTTGTGCCGCCCACAGCCTGACACAACAGATTGCAGGCCGTGTTAGGCCTAGAGTTTCAGGTCCATGGGCTAGCATGCCATGTCATGACCGAGTGGGCCTTGTAACCCGCGTTCCACATGCCGACACATCTCAGCATGACCCATATATGTATAATATGTATGTATATATTATATTATATAATATATTAATATACATAATTTTATTTTTCAATTTTATTATATTATTTCATATTTTTATTGCATATACAAACAATTGTATATATCAAAATTCATATAAAATAAAATTTTAAGATCCTTTTAATTTTTTGGATATATTTTTTAATTTATATTAAAATTTCATTATTTTTTTTAAAATTAAAAAAAAAAACATGACTTGGACCAATCTATGACTTAGCCTGACGAAAGGCTTGGCTCACGAACCAGCTCGGCCTGTAGCATGGCACAGGCCCGTGTAGACTTAGACCATGAACTGTACCGGGTTGACACCCCAAAATATACTAAAGGAGAGAAAGACGGGCTACATAGAGGCCATGCCCTGCCATGCCGGCCTAGCATGGTCCAATTTATACATCTAAAAATAGAAATACAAAACGCAAGTAGAAATTACAAAAAGAAATACTCCAAACACCTTACTTTATTTGTTACTAATTTGCTAATTGCTTTGGTAGTACAACCTTTTCTCTAATTCACACGGCCAACAATTTCTAACTGCAAAATATCTAGCTTGTGAAGTTACATGGATGGTGACCCACCTTGGAGTATATTACCGAAGAACAAGGTTAATATGTAACAGCCTTACAGGATAAAAAGGGTAAGGAAAAACTGGTGGCTCTCATACAAATTAAAAGATAAGAGAGCCACTTTTTCTCCTTCCTGATGTGGAAGGAGGTAAGGGGACCGCATTATTAACTTGTATCATCAACTGAAGCTTTGATCTATTGGAGCTTCACTTGCAAAATAATCTCTGCTTTTTCCTTGAGTCGCTTATTTCCTTTTATTAGAGTTCGAAACAAGATCATGGCTGCTGAACAGGGAGAACCAATTCTATCAGCTTCTTTTAAAGTGCTGTTCGACAAATTGGATAGCCCAATTATTAAAGATTCCTCACCCAATTGGGGAATTGATGCAGATCTCGAAAAACTAGAGGAAACGTTGCTGATGATCGAGACTGTGCTGGTGGATGCCGAACAACAGATAAACAAGAAGACACAACAGAGGAAAAAGGAGGCACTGAAGAAATGGTTAAATGAACTCAACCATCTGGTTTATGATACTGAAGACATATTGGATGAGTATGCAATCTATGTCGAACAATACCAGGTATGTTTCTCCATCCCCTCTGAAATCAAACATCAAATAGAATCTGGGGTAAAGAATATCAACGAAAGGCTGGAGAAACTTAAAAATATAATGACCATATTAGGTCTGAAAGTGGTCCACGTAGAAGGGAGGATGATTAACGAAATGGTAAGAAGGCCACGAACAAGCTCCCTTTTGGACGAATCTTGCTTTTATGGTCGAGAGACTGATAAAGCTAAGATAATTGCTAGGCTGTTGATGGTGGATGGTATTGATAATGAAAAGAATTTTGAAGTGCTTCCCATAGTTGGTATGGGTGGGCTAGGTAAAACTACGCTTGCTCAGTCTATATTCAATGATGAGAACGTAGAGAAACATTTTAAGCTCAGAGCGTGGGTTTGTGTGTCTGAAGAAGTTGATACTGTCAAGATAACAAAGGCTATTCTTGAATCTGCTACTAGGGATGCAGTGTCACTCAGCGACCTTGATCCACTCCAATGTCTACTTAAGGACACACTGAATAAGAAAAGATTTTTAATTGTTCTGGATGATGTTTGGAACGAAGACCCGCATGCCTGGGATATCTTACGAGTTCCTTTCACAAATGGGGAAAAAGGAAGTAGAATTATAGTAACAACACGAAGTGAAAGAGTTTCATCAATCATGGGTACTCTTCCTGTTCACCGTCTCAATGGCTTGGAAAATGAGTTTTGTTGGTCAATATTTAGGAAGTCTGCGTTTCTAAATGATATCACCTTGAATGCACATCCAAATCTAAAAGAAATCGGGAAGAAAATTGTAAACAAATGCAAAGGTGTGCCTCTTGCAGTAAAGTCACTTGGAGGCCTCTTGCATTCTAAAATTGAAGAGGGGGAGTGGGAATATGTTTTGACGAGTGAAATATGGGAATTGGATAAAGATGGTATAATGCCAGCCCTGAGGTTGAGCTATCTACATCTCCCACCGCATCTAAAGCGGTGTTTTGCTTATTGTTCTATCTTCCCCAAAGACTACCTGTTTAAAAAGGAGGAATTGGTTTTGTTGTGGATGGGGGAAGGATTTATACATCCTATGCGAAATAGACAAATGGAAGACATAGGAAGGGAGTATTTTGATGAGCTATGTTTCAGGTCATTTTTTCATCAATTTCATGAGAGATCATACTTCAATGAAAAACTGACGTTTGTGATGCATGACATGATTCACGATTTAGCACAATTTATTTCCAAGGATGTATGTTTTAGAATAGAAGAACCACATGATGAGAATGATGATAAGTTGTGGAATATTCCTAATCTTATGAAGGCTCGTCATTTGTCAATATTTTCTGAAAGCAAGTATTATAAGCATGAAAAATTATTTGATGCCTTGTACAAAGTTAAGAGTTCACGCACATTTCTGCTAGGTGGACTGTCGAGTGTGGAGAAGTTAGAAGTATCATCAGGGAAATCTATTGTGAGGATCCCACACTTACTAGAAAAGCTTGACATTTTATTTGAAACATGGAGATTCTTGCGTGTGTTGTGCTTGCGCAATCTTTCTATCAAAAAGTTGCCAGATTCAATTGGTAACTTAAAACTGCTAAGGTTCTTGGACCTCTCCTACACTAAAATTGGAAGGTTACCTCAATCAGTTTGTAGCCTCTACCATTTACAAATATTGCTACTTGAGGGCTTGGATTATATTAAGGAATTGCCTGAAAACATCAGCAGCAGCCTTGACAATCAACTTGTTGACATTCAAATTGTCAAAATCAATACCTATAGATACAGAGTTGCACCTGGAAATGGAAGAAAGAACGGAGTTGAAGAATTGAAGTTGCGTTGCAGGTGCATCAGGGCAGAAAACATTATCATTTCAGGATTAGAGAATGTTGTTGTAAATGTCAATAAAGATGATGTTAATTTCAAGAACTATCAAGATCCCCAGATGTTAACATTAGTATGGGATAATGTTTTCAGGGGAATGGGAGAGAGATCTATGGCTGAGAAAATAATAGAGTGTATCAAACCAGCAAATATGAAGTTAAGGGAACTCACTATCAAGGGGTATTATGGTGAAAGATTCCCTAATTGGATGGCAGAGATGTCCAATTTATGGAAATTAGAACTGGACAGATGTAGATGCAACTTCCTTCCTCCTCTTAGAAAATTACGCTTTCTCAGAATAAGTGGAATGGACATCTGTGAAGGAGAATGGTGCTCAGGAGGAGGAATAGAAATCCACCAGGTGAAAGATAAAGAAGTGTTATTCCCCTGCCTTCAGTTTTTCAATATTTCCTCCTGTCCCAAGCTCAAGGGGCTCCCTTTCTACCGGTATCCTGCTTTGAAAACCTTAAGCATAATGAATTGCAAGGAATTGACAACAATTTTTACAAGCCCTCAAATTTCATCCTCATCAGCATTTGCCCAAGGACAACAGCTTCCTAATTTAAATAGGCTTAGTATATACAAGTGCCCCAAGCTTAGAGCATTGGCAGCGCTCACTCCCTTCCCTTCTTTGGAAAGCTTAGAAATAGCAGTATGTGAGGAACTTGAATCCCTACCTGAACAAATGTACAACTTCACTTCTCTTTATTACTTGAAGATCTATAAATGTCCCCGCTTGATGACCTTTCCAAATGAGGGGTTGCCTACTAACAAGCTAAAATAACTAGAGATCAGTGGATGTGGTGAGACAAGGAACGAAATACTGCCCAAGAGTGTTGGTCTACACAAACTTACTTCTCTTCAATCATTGATTATTAGCAATTGTTCTGGTCTCAAGTCCTTACCAGAGGAGGAGGAATGGCAGCTGCCTACAAGTCTTACACATCTAGAGCTCATCAATTTTCAGAGTCTAGAATTCCTACCACCCATGTGGCTCAGTGGACTCACTTCTCTTACAAAACTTGTAATTCACCGTGTTCCCAGGCTTGCTTCCTTGCCGGAAGGGGGAATCCCCTCCCAAATTAAGTTTTTGTTTATCTCTAACTCTCCTCTTCTACAAGAATCGTGCGAAAAGAATGTAGGGAGAGATTGGCCCAAGATAGCTCACATCCCATCTATAAAGATTTTCTGAGATCAGTTTTCTAGTGATTGCTACAAGTTTGTGAAGCCAATGTAAATAGCAGTTGCTTCTGCTAGGAGAGAGTTTCCTTTCTCTCTTCGGTGCAATAATGAAGAAAAGATCAGCCAATTTGTTGTCAAGCAGAAGTAGTCAGTTTCGTAGGGATCATGGTTCACTGGTTAGCTTATTCAATGATTCAAGCACCTCATATCAAATCAAAAGGGATACTCACACATTTGCCGTCGACCTCTTTGCAATCATGTGACAACATCGGCGCCGGCGGTCTTCTATATCAGAGCCTTCTTAAAAAGAACCCTTTATTGTCTTGGTCACAGTTGCTAAATGCAAGATGGGGCTTCGCAGTGTCAACTTCTGAACTTGATAGTTGTTGCAGAACAGGGGAGTCCCGATGATAACATTGAAGCAACTGACGGTATGGTTCGTGATCTTCTGAATTCTCTGTAACTTCGTTTATTTTTTTTCTTATTGTCTTTCTTTCCTTTCCAATTATTTCACACTGAAAATTTGTCAAGTAAAATATATTGTTCTCCGCAGTCTGCACCATATATTATTTTGCCTTCTTCAATAGAACATTCTATTTTTTTTTTCTGTAAAGGCTGAATCTTTTTCCTCTTTTGAGATGAAGAGAAAATTGCATTAGAAAAATCTTTTTTATGGTAATCAAATTATTTTCAGCATCACATTTATTTTATATTGTTTGGTTCTTGTATATGCAGCAAGGAGAAAGATCAATATGGATATCTGGGTTGAACATTTTCCAAAATGATCTCTGTAAAGACTGAATGTAGATCAATTTTATATTTCTCCTAGCTTTAAAAACTTCTTGTATCTCATTTCTATTCTTTTAAAAATTTTCAACTCTTCTTTCTGTAAATGGTTGTCACTACGTTTTTAATTTCTTGACTAGTTTTTGTCTAATAAAATTATGCTATTGGTATTGCTCAGATGAACATTTTCTTCTGGTTTGTTGTATCTTCTTTCCAATCTCCAGAATCAGCGGATGTGGTGAGAAGAAGAGGAAAATCCTTCCCAAGAGTGTTGGCCTAACAAATTAAAAAGGATCTATCCATAAGGTTTAGGTTTACATTTCTGGTAATTACGGAAGGCATGTTTCGAACTCTTGAGGCTGGATACAAAAACATGGATTTTGATAACAATATGATGGGTGGCAATCTTTGCAGGACCATAATTCATTTATTTTCTGATTAGACCGTTCAGCATTTTTCAAGCGTTAGATGCCCACATCTCTGCAAGCTTGTGATAGCATCAGCACCACCAGCCTAGCGAAACGAGGGATGGGAAGTGATTTCTTGTAAATCCTCTCATGTACATTCCCTCTTTTGGATTGAAATGAATCCTGTTATCCTCTCTTCAAAAACTTCGGCAGTGATCCAAAAACATGGGAGTCTCTTCGACCGGCACCAAAGCCGCAATTAAGTTGTCCTTTTTGCCTTCGTAATTCTGATTGTCTGTTTTCTTTTCTGTCTTTTTGTATTTTTGAGAAAGCAAAATATAGAAGTTAAATGGATTGTGTTTTGTTACTATATATTGACTATGATATGGAAAAGACATGATATTGGAAAATCGTCTGACCAATCAACTGGAATCATAAACGTGATAGCGAATCAAGTGTTATTTATCAAAATTTTGAGTGAATTTTGATTAGTTAAAACTCTTTCCATACCATATCTTTTCCACATCATAGATTTTCCCTTTTTGGTTTCTTCACGAGTTTATTATTTTTTTTTTGTTAAATTAGAGATAGGTATCCTTTGCTTTGTGGGTAATGACACTTACAAACCTAACCTTTTCTTCAAGTGTGACATTTTTGTACCTTAAATTTTTAGAAATATACATTTGAGTCCAACTCTGTTAAAATTAATGCTACAGTGAGGATAAAATTATAAAAATGCCCATATTCAGATTTTCTTCTTTTTTTTCACTTATTTTTGTTGCTCCATTCAAATGCTTTTATTCTTTATTAAAAGAAAGTATGGAAATGATATGGAACAAAAGGTAAAATAAAAGTTCAATGAGCAAAAGGGAATCTAAACGGCATTTTTTGTAATTTTGCCTACATTGTAACATCAGTTTTAACAAAGCTGGACTTAATGGTATGATCTCCACCCAAATAAACACTTATTTTTAAGCACTCCCAAACATGGCCTACGTATATCCAGGATTAAAATCCGGTTGTAACAAAATAGCAACCGCCACCAAGTCCTTAGGTAATTTTACTCTTCTATTCAGGAACGAGAGAACTGGCACTGCACAATGTCATTCCTTCTCCATTTCGAGATAAAGCAATAAAGCATCAGCTAGCTTGTTTTCTTTTCCTTTCTTATAATGAGTGACAAATCTAGTCCTAGAAGTTTAGTCATGCCCTTCTATTTCACAACAATGATGATTTGCTGCTCCAATAAAAGCTTCAAATTTTCAAAATCAATTTTGATTATAAATTAGACATTTTGTAAATAATGTCTCCACTTGGAAACAACCATGAGTATAGCTAAAAATTCCTTCTCATAAATTGAAAGACCTATACTCCTAGGACTAAATGATTTGCTTAAGAAAGCAATCAGTCTTCCATTTTGAGATAAAAAAAAACCCCATTCCCCAATTTCAAGAGTGAAAGTTTGACTAAAATCTAGAAGAGACAAAACTAGTATAGACATGGCACACTTGAGCTTATTAAAAGCCAATGTAGCTGCATTATTCCAATAAAACCCATCCTTCTACAACATGTCTGTCAATGTCTTTTTAATCACTTTGTACCCCACTATAAACTTCATATAATATCCTTAAGGCTCAGTTTGGAAGGAATATAAATGCAAATTTGTAGAGTGCAAATACATACAAAATACAAGGTTTTACACTCTACAAATTTGTATTTGTACTCCTTCCAAACTGAGCCTAAAGCTTTCACTGAATTAGGTAAAGGCCAAGGCATCATAGCTAGCCTCCACCTTAGAAGGCAAAACAGAAAATAGTTGATAATCACAACCCCATCACCATTGATAATATAACCTGGGTATTCCACATTTCTCTGACCAAAAGAGTACTTCCTCTTTTAGAAAATAGTTGCTGTTGCATGCGTGATATAGGACAAGTTTTAGAGGTGGATATAAAGGGATGGATTGTAAATGAGTATGCCATGCATCAAAGAAAACAAGCACAAATTAATTTCCATAAAAAAAGGTGCAAAAATTCCATTTATATGTGCTATTGGAATGTGGTGTGAGTCTTGAAAGTAGTTTTGGGGATAACTTCTGCTTTCGAATGGGTTTGATGATTACCACTCCTCCAATCCAGTAATATATGTTAGATCCGATCCGATATGAAGATCGGGTCAGATCTCATAGTTGGTGATCCGATAACACTCTCCTCATCTTCATTTGTATAAGCAACAACCCCATAAACTCCTAATTCACTATGGCTCAGTTTGAAAAGAGTATAAATGCAAATATGTACAACATAAATACATGCAAAATAATACAAAATATAAAGTTGCACTCCTTCCAAACTCAGCCTATATATTTACGATCCCTTAAATCACCTAAACACCTAATCCAAAGTTTTGCACTATTAAGTATGGACCAGTCCAATCCATTTTAATCAGATTGGATTTGGATTGGGTCCAGCCAAAACCTACTCCATTGACACCATAATTCACAAGGTAGGAATCTATTTAATACGAAGCTAAGAAATCTCCAAATAGTTTGGACTTTGAACTTTCCACTCATTTACATTCATTTATATATATATATATATATATATATATTATGGGTTATGTTTTTTCCTATTCCATTGTTTGGAACATCATATGATCATCATGAGTGTTAAAAGAGAGAATAAACGCAAACGATGAGTGACAAGCTGGGTCCTGAGTCCCTAAAACTGTAAGTAAAATGTAAAAGGATGCCCTCAAACGCTCCTCCAACTCCCAAATATATATATATATATATATATATATATATATATATATATATATAAATCTATAGTAGGTCCAAACCTTCTCAGACCATTTTCCCTTATTTCTTCTACTCTCCATCTCATTATCCGTTACTACCTGATAGACCATGGAATGTCCATATCATAACCATTCAATGCTTTAATAGCTAAAAGACAATATGATGTAAGACTTGAAAATCTCCATCCTTGATCTACAACAAAGGCAGCAGCTTGAAATAAAGCTCGTGGTTCAGCCAGCAAAACAGTCTTTTTGTTATAATCTAGACATGCCCACCTGTAGCCATACAAAATAAAGATTCATTATTATAAGCAATAACCCCATAAACTCCTAGCTTGCTCAGTACATATGATCCCTCCACATAAACTCCTAAATCCTAATGCAGAATATTAGACCATAAACTCTGAACCGATGCTATCCATTCTAATTGAATTGGACTCAGATTGGGTCCAGACCAAACATGCTCCTTTAACATTCCTATCCAACTAGTTTATATGAAAATTCCAACTACTTGCGACTTTGAACCTTTCACACCTTCTCCACACTTTTTAATATCAAACGATTAGACATTGTCAAGAACATGGGGACATGAGTAATAAAGATAAAATGGGCACAAGTGACGAGTGACAAGTGATGCAAGCTGTCCATTGGCTGGTGGCTATAGTTAATAAACCCCTCTAGGTTGTTTCACACAAACTCGGATGGTTTCACAAGGTTGTAGAGAGTTCCACCACTATCTAGACGCTTCTAGACGCATGAAACACTCTAAAATGCCCTAGAACGCTCTAAAATTGGCTAGAAGCCTCAAGAAACATCTAGAAAACCTCTAGTCAAGTACCCTATTGTGTCACTTTGTGACATCCCGCACTGAATGTTTTGGAGGAAACTGAATAAGGCACAAAGCTAAAAGTGCGCTGATGAAAGTAATTTCATAAAGGTACATTCGTAAAAGTATTTTTATAAAAGTGCTTTCGCAAAATTACTTTTATAAAAGTGTTTTTACAAAAATACTTTACTTTCATAAAAGTAATTTTTATAAAATTTATCGGGGACAATTCTGAGAAATTAATTTTGAATAAGTACTTATTTGAAGCTTATTTCCCAAACACCAATAAGTGCTTAATGGGGTGATCTCCACCCAAATAAGCACTTATTCTTAAGCACTCCCAAACATGGCCTAGGTATATCTAGGTTTAGCATCCATGACCTATGCAATGCAAGGGTTTTGTTAAAAGAATTTGAGGCAAAATGAGCTAGAGGTGCAACTTGGGGAGGCCCAACCCGAGCATAACCCAGCTCAACCAAAGATTTTGCATAGGCTAGGCCAAAAAACTCAAACCTAACCTAAATTCAAGTTGGGCTTGGGTTGAGGCCTTAGGTAACCCAAGTCTGACCTGGCCCAATTTGAGCCTGCCTAACATTTTATGATATACATATCTACATATTACAATTTATTCTACTTGAAAATTGGGCTACAAAGTTCAACATACACAAGTCCAATGTTAGGTTAGACTCGAGTTGGGCCTGGGATTGTAAACTCGGACTTAACAGTTTGAGCTCGAGGTTTGAGACTTAGGATTGGGCCTGGGTTGACCCTTAACTCAACTCAACCCAACCTAACCAAATTGCACCCTAAGAAGGAGCATTATGACATTCCTAATTGTATGAGTTTTTATGTTTTATTAAATTGTTTTAACTTTTACTAAAGTTCTATTTAGTATTAATTTTTCTTATTTCTAAATGGATTAGGGGATCTTAGATTAATAATAATTAAGTTTAAAAATAATAACTTTGTAATTTTTTAAAATTTATCAACAAATTTATAATTTAAATGTTACTTAGAATATAATCTAAATATAATCTAAATATAATTACTATTAATTACAGTTTAAAATCTAATTACAATTGGTTACAGTTTAAAATATATATAATTTATTGATGTAACCGGTTCTGGTCACGTACCAATTTTTTGTGATGTATCAATTTTTTTGGCTAAGTACCCCACCATTTGACCTGTTCCTAGGTGACCAGTGACTTAGAGCATGATGGAGCTCCCTGGTGACGAGATCCCTGGTGGTGAGCTACCTGGTGATGAGCTCCCTGGTGGTGAGCTACCTGGTGACGAGCTCCCTGGTGGTGAGTTACGTGGTGACGAGCTCCCTAGTGGTGAGCTACCTGGTGACGAGCTCCCTGGTTGTGAGCTACCTGGTGACGAGCTACCTAGTGTAGTGCAACCCGACTGCACTCTGCATGAGGTGATCTCCTCTCCTTTGTAGGCGGCGGGAGATGAGAGACCTGCGAGAACTCCATCTATTCCTCCTCTTTGTAGGCGGCGGGAACTGAGGAACCTGCCAAAACTGAATCAGAGGACCCGGGGGTATTTACCCGGCGGGGACTCTCTAATGCCTAAGTTAGCATTCTGATTGCAGAGAGCTTGGAGAAAAATGAGAGAGCTAGAGAGTAGGGATTACCTCCATTTTTCCATTCTCTCCCCCCTTTGTCTTTGGGGTCCGAGTCCTTATTTAGCGGTGTCCAGTCAAATCAGGCGTAACCGCCTCTGTCAAGTCAGGCATAACTGCCTCT